CCCACCACTGGTAGATAGGTAGGTAGGTAGGTAGGTAGATGATAGATAGACAGACAGAGACAGACAGATAGACATAGACAGACAGACAGATAGACTGACAGACAGATGATGGGAATGCTGTGGGGATGTGACGATGGCTGCCACTTTGTGTAAGTTCCCCTCACTCAGCGCCATTGCAATTTGAACAGTTGTGCTGAACAAGTGGTGGTAACTCAAGGATTACCCATGTTTTGCTTTCTCCCCATTTCTCAAAGAAGGGGCAGAACAGTGATGGACTGGAAGTTGCATTTCAAATCAGATCTGTCTTAAAATGGTAGAAGGACATGTCCAGGGGAAGGGGGAAAGAGATGATGATGATGACGACAACAATAATAACGATTTATTAAACTTGTATGTAGCCTGCTCAGGCAGCTCACACCTGGAATACTGAATGCAGCTTTGATCGCCACGATATAAAAAAAAGATGTTAAGACTCTAGTCCAGAAAGAGTACAGGAGAAGAACAACAAAGATAATTTGGGGATTGGTGGCTAAAACATATGAAGAGCGGTTGCAGGAATTGGGTATGTCTAGTTTAATGAAAAAAAGGACTAGGGGAGACATGATAGCAATGTTCCGATATCTCAGGGGCTGCCACAAAGAAGAGGGAGTCAAGCTATTCTCCAATGCACCTGAGGACAGGACAAGAAGCAATGGGTGGAAACTAACCAAGGGGAGAAGCAACCTCTTAACCTAGAACTAAGGAGAAATTTCCCGACAGTGAGAATAATGAATCAGTGGAGCAACTTGCCTCCAGAAGTTGTGGATGTCCCAACACTGGGAGGTTTTAAGAAGAGACTGGAATGGCTAACCATTTGTCTGAAATGGTATAGGGTTTCCTGCAGGGGGTTGAACTAGAAGACCTCCAAGGTCCCTTCCAACTCTGTGATTCTGTTAAACCAATTGCTGAGGATCTTCCTTGCCTTCCCCATAAAATGTGGATATTAATGCTGTCTGCCAACATGTTCCTGGCCCATTTTCAAACTGCTGGTGCTGCAGATATGACTACTGCCAGCCCTTTTGATAAAACCTGTTCTCCGGCCCCGATTCGCAGCCTCTGCATCACAGGGGCCCAGGAGCGGAGAGACGGACTCCGCCGCACTCACTCTGAGGCCCTTCTCTCCGCAGGCAGCCCTAGATCACGTCTGGGAAGGCGTTTGCCCCAGACCGACAAAGGCAGTTCTCCGGTGCTGTGTCTCCAGCGTGGTGCGTTTGCCTTGGGCAAACCACAAAGTCTCACAGTTTGGGGTTTGTTTCTCCCAATCTACAAAGAGGTGAAGATAATTATTATTTATCTGGCACATGTTTTTACCCAGATTAATTAATTCTGTTAAATTGCCTAGAAAGCCTCCAGTCAAAAAGGAGCTGTATGACACAGGCAAGGCTGGTACTTTTGCTGCTCAGCAAATTATTCTCGGCTCCTGAAACAGCAGCAGGGAGGGGGGTTGTCTTATTTATTTATTTTATTCATCACATTTTTACAACCAAGGGAGTGGACGGCATACAAATCTTATTAAACTAAACTATTAAACTAAACAACACCCATCACCAGTGGTGAAATTCAATTATTTTTTTACTACCAGTTCTGTAGGCGTGGCTTGGTGAGCGTAGTGTGGCTTGGAGGGTGTGGCAGGGGAAGGATACTGCAAAATCTCCATTCCCACCCAACCCTGGGGCCAGCCAGAGGTGGCATTTGCCGGTTCTCCGAACTACTCAAAATTCTGCTACCGGTTCTCCAGAACCTGCTGGATTTCATCCCTGCCCATTATGCACATAGTGAGTCTGGGAAGCATACAAAAATTTGTTGAGAGTGGGTCGTTCAAAGCGGACCTGAAAAGAATGCCAAGATTTAACCACAGAAAATATATTAGTGCCCACATTTAATACTGAATATGCCCATGTGTGTTTAAACTTTGCTGAGAGTTATCTAGGAAAACAGCTCCATAACGTGGAAGGACACTTTGCCAATTCTTGATCTAGAGCAGTGTTTCGCAAATTTGGCAACTTTTAAGATGTGTGGACTTCACGGTTGACTGGAGAATTCTGGGAGTTGAAGTCAACTCTTCTTTTTTTTTTTAATAATAATTTTATTTTTTATTACATAGACAACATCACATAACAATAGAAAAACAAAAACAAAGGGAAAAGGAGAGGGAAATAAAGGGGAAAAAAAGACAAAAAAACCCCCATCATCACATACAATATGTCATTTGATCACAGGTGCATCCCTAC